CAAAGGGGGTCCAAAGAGCCTTCCAGACTTGAGTCATAGGAACCCCCAGGGAGAGGGCCCTGCCCCCATCCGAGATGGCATCCTCACCCCACAGCCCCCTCCGGACCTGGGGATGTATGAGACTGTGCTCCTGGCGCCCTGCGGGGCTGAGTCATGGCACCGCCAGGATCTGTCAAGAGGCAGATGGAGCTGGAGGAAGAGAAGGACTCTGGTGGTTGGGAGCGGGGGGAGCTTGCCTTAATTGAGAGTCGAGCCAGCGTATCGACTGCCCCACTTTGCGCCCTCAAACATTCCCCACCGAGGGGTCGCTGCCTGGCCCCAGGAGGGGGTGGAGGCAGCCCGACTGGGGTCTCTCTCTGGCCGGTGGTCTCTGTGCCCGTTTGGGTCCTCGCCTCCCCTTGTCTCTGGCGCTCCCAGGTCCCTGGATGTGTGCTGGGAGCACATGTCTCCGCGCGCCCCCTGCTGGACGACGGAAAAGGCACAGGCAGGCTAAGCGTGCGCTCAGAGTCCGGACCTGCCGCTCGCACTTGTCCCTGAAGAGCAAAGTCGCCGCCGCCGCCACTGCCGCGGCGCCCCGTATTATTATTTCATGCTTATTGAGCGCCTCGGAATGCGGGCGCCAAGCCGGCCGACCGCAGGCTACCGATGAGGTCTGCTCCTTCCCCGGGTGGGTGGGACCAGGCGGCCATCCCCATCCTCTATCCTGCAGCCGAGCGCGTTGGACACCGCCGCCTGGCGGATAGAGAGGAACTTGGCGGAAAAGTTGAGAACCCGGAGCTCCGGTCTGGCCGCAGGCTTGTCCACATCCACGTCAGGGCCTCCTAACACCAACTTGCGTTTTAACTCCCAGCATCTTTGGCTTTCCATTCCTGCCGAGGAAACAGAGACGAAGTGGCTTGTCCAAGGTCACACAGCCAGGAGGGGCGGGATTGGGGTTAAAAACCAGGTCTCCTCGGCTCCAGACCAGTGGGTGAGATTCAGATTGTGCCCCTGCCCTTTTGCTCTGTGTGACCTGGGGCCAGAGATCAGGCCTCTCTGGGCCTCCGTTCTGTCATCAGCAAACCGGCTGAATAAGATCTGCCGTGTTAAGGCTGAGATGGCTGACATCAGGTCTGGGCGATCAAGAGCTGGTGTTTTGAGAACTGCACTTCCTTAAAATGACTTCAGCAAAGAGAAAGGGGGTGTTCTCCACATCACAAGCCCAGGCCCTGGCTGCCAGGGTGTCCCTTCTTTAACCAGTAACAGGTTGACTGCAAGCCCCTCTGAGTTGCAGAAACCAGGGCTTTGGGTCTGCAGGAGCCACAGACTGGCAGGGTGAGGACAGAGTTTGGGGAGGGGGGGAGCATCTGGACCCACTGTTTTCACTCTCCAGTAAAAAGTTCAAATCCAGCCTTTGCCCTTGACTTGTGACCTTGGGAAAGGACTTAACCATCTGAACCCCAGTTTCCTCATCTGTAACGGGGCTATTGATGGAGGATCTTCAGGCTGTGACATAAGATATAAGAGACAGATGCAGTCTGTGGCTCCAGTTCTCAGACTAGTGGGTGAGGAAGACATAGCAAATAAAGGAATAATGATAATTCCAGGTGGTGACACATGGGACATGGAGAAAAGAGGGACCCTGGGGACAGGGAAGGCCTTTCTGCGGAGATGACATTTGAGCAGAGACCTAAATGAAGTGAGAGGGGGGATGGTATGTGGCTGCCTGAAGGATGAGGGTGATAAGCAGAGGGAACAGCCAGTACAAAGTTCCTGAGGTAGGAATGTGTCTGATATGTTGGAAGAAAAGTAGTGAGCAAGGGGTGAGTGAAGGGAAATGAGGCAGGGAGGAGATGGGGCAGCTTGTGTCAGGGCCTTGCAAGCTCGGTCAAGGTTAGCTTCAGGCCTCAGTTTACCTCTGACTTCCTAGGAAGGGACAAAGTTCACTGGGCTGGAAGGGAACTGACCTGTGAAGGACCTAGTGGCGAAAATTCCAGTTCTTAGAGCCAGACAGCTGAATTTATAACCCAGGTCTGTCCCTTCCGAGCTGGGTGACCCTGGCCAAGTCAGTTCCCCTCTCTGGGCCTTGGTTTTCCCATCTGTGAAATGGGCCTGTAAGGAATCTATTCCCAAAGTCTGATGCTCGGGATCAGCAAAACAATTCAGGGAAGTGTAAGGGCAGGTAAACGTGAATGTCTTTCCTAGTTCTGTTTGTACTTGGACCAAGAGGTACTGGTGGCCAGTGATGGGTCTTCATGAGTTTAGAGCAGGAGTTCTCAGCTAGAAGCAATCTGTCCCCCCAGGGGACATGTGGCAATGGCTGGAGACATTTTAGTTGTCATGACTGAGAGGGTGCTTTTGTCATCTAGTAGGTAGAGGCCAGGGATTCTGCTTCTACTACAAGCACACAGGACTCCCCCCCAGGACAAAAGATTAACAGGCACCAAATGTCAGTAGTGCCCAGGTTGGGAAACAGTGCATTCCCAATGAGATGATATCACCTCCATGGGTGTAAAATTTGTTTCTTGGGGTGGATGTGTGAAAAAAATTTATATACAGCTCTGGCCAGTGTGGCTCAGTAGTTAGAGGGTCAGCCTGCACACTGGAGGGTAGAGGGTTCGATTCCTGGTCAAGAGCAGTACCTGGGTTGGAGGTTCCATCCCCAACCTCCAGTCGGGCATGTGTGAGAGAGACAACCAATCAATGTGTCTCTCTCACATTGATGTTTCTCTCTCTCTCTCTCTCTCTCTCTCTCTCTCTCTCTCTCTCTCTCTCTCTCTCTCCTCCCCCCTTTCCACTCTTACTAAAAAAAAAAAAATGTACAAAGCCCCCTATTCACACAGTACATAAACAAATATACAGTATATCTGTGGTATTAGCATTTTTGGGGGGAGGTGAAGGGAGGATGTCTAAAAAGGCTACTCCTTAGGGAAGCAATAATAAAATACAGGGTGACAAACACTGGTCTAGAGCCTGGAGCAGCCACTCACTGACTGTGACTTGGAGCAGGTTGTGTCTCCCCAAGATTCAGTTTTCCCATCTGTAAAATAAGGACAGCACTAGTATCACTTTGCAGGTGTTTTGTGAAGATTAAATGAGATCATGGCTACAGGCGCTGAATCTCAGGAAGCATTCTGAAGGTTTGTTGCTATGATCGGCATCATTATCATCATCATCACTGGCTAGTACAGCAGCTGGCACATTATAAGCTCTTCATAAATGTTTTGTCAAATAATAATTGTAACTAACATTTAGTGAGTGCTGACTACATCTAGAACCTTTTACTTGTCCATCCATGAGATGTGTAGTATTATACCCATTTTACATATGGGAAAACTGAGGCTTAGTGAAATGAAGTGACTGTCCCAAGGTCAAATGACTAAGTGCCAGAAGCCAGACTTAAGCCTGGGCCATCTGACTCTAGACCCCTTTCAACAGGTAGAAAGGTATTTACAGAGGTGGTAGCCTAAGATAGAGATTTGCCCACTTATTTAAAACAAGCTTTCCCAACCCCTAAAAGCCACAAACATGTCGGAGTAAGCTCCAGAATTATAACCAGTTGCCTGACTTTGTTCAAGGGTGTTCACCTCTCTGACTCTCAGTTCCCTCATCCGTGAAAGGGGGTAGTGAGCCCCCCAGAGCCAAGTGGTTGGGCATGCCGAGCCACCTGGGGTGGTGGTGGGAGAAGGTCCCTATGCCTGTGTACTACTGAGCCTGCGCGGGAGTCAGCACTGAGGGGAGGCTGGGTTCTTGGGGCGACCTAATGAGCTGTGGGGGCCCCAATTCCAAGGGGTGTCTCGGAAATCCTACGGAGTCTTGGGGCTGTGAGCACACTCAGATCTCCTAGGGATGTCATAAAATAAGGGAGGTATTCTGGTGGGTTACCAAGGATATGGTGCATCTTGATTCTGGGAGTAGCCTAGGGTTGTAGAACTGTCTTAGAAGTTGTGGAGGAATCTAGTTGTACCCCTGGGTTTTGGGGGCACCCCAGGATTTTTGTGGCATCTCCATGTTATAGGATCACCCCCTGAGTCTAAAGGTACTCCTGAGATTAGTAGAAGCATCTCAGGGATGCTGTGGAGCCACTCAGGGGTTGGGGGGCCACTGAGGGACTGTGGAAGCATTCCTGGGGTCTGGAGGGACCCTCGGCTTTGAAGCCCCTCATACCCATGTCTGTGGGAATGGTTAGTGACTAGAGGATTCCAGTGGTACTCTGGGGGTCTCTGCATGATTCAAAGATGGTGGGAGTGTTCTAAGGGGTGTGGGGACATCTGGGGAACTGTAGCAGTGGTCCTGGGATCTAGGTGAAGGGGTTTCTCAGGGGTTCTCAAAGCACCACTGTCATTTGTAGGTGCATCCTGGGATTCTTGGGGTGCCCCTGAGGTTTGTGAGGATGTCTCACTAACAATGAGGACACTACTAGGGGGCATCTGGGTAACTTTGGAAGTGTCCCCAGGGGTCTGTGGGGGCCCTCTCCGAACCCAGGGATTTGGGGGTATCCTTGGGTTGTGTGGGGGCATCTCGGGGATATTGGGGGCACTCTCTGGAACTGTGGAGGTGGCTGAGGAACGTTGGGGACGCCCCTGAAGTCTGTGGGGTCTCGCAATACCGCAGGAAGTTGTGAGAGCACCCCAGAGATTTCGGGGGCGTGCCAGGTGTTTGTAGAGATGCTTCCGGAGATTGTGAGGGCAACTGAGGGACTGCGGGGGCGGGGGCCCTGAGGTCTGTGGGGTGTCCCCGCTGCAGCCCTGCGGGCGTCCCCGTCCCGCCCCGCCCCAGGGGCGGTCCCAGCGGGGAAGCCGGAAGGGCCAAAGGCGGCTAGGCGGGGTGGGCCCCAGGGCTGGGCGGGCGGGC